GGCGATTTTCTATGGGATTGTATGTGTGTGTTGTGGTTTGCCTTAGACCATTGGTGACAGGTCCTAGGTCTTTGCATTTCAACATGGGAGGAACCTTTGTTCCCTATATGAACTACACCTAATCTTTGCTGAAGTTTCAGGAGAATGAACCCTAGGGTTAATACCACACTCTGAACTAGCGGCAATGGAATGGGTAGTTCATAAAGGGGTTTAACCTGCAAAAGAAGAAACAAGGTTAGTAAAAACTTCCTGGCCATCCACAGTAAACTGGTGCTGTTGCTGTTTGTATTGCCATTTTTCATGGCTGTGACCTTCTGGGCAATTAGGTCTAGCCCTTTTTGAGTTCTGCAATCAGCCATATCCATGAGAGTTAGAGGGCTTGTATGATGTGGAGGAACCATGATTCTTCTGGTTCTCTTGTGTCTGAAGGCAGGAGTACCCAATTGGTCTTGCAATACTTGACCTCTGATGTGATGAGGCAATGCATAGACATTATGATACTCAGTCAAAGTGATGAGATAATGGCTGATTTTGGACAAGGAGTCTGCTGGGCAGTTTGCTTCCCTCTAGGTGTGAGTACAGCTGAAATTCTCACAGAGGTTGCAAAGGTCCAATAGTTGCCGTAACTTCATCTTAAGGGACCAAGGGAAACCTTTACCATTGGTTAACCACTGAATTAGGAGTGCAGAATCGGATTCCAAATGAACCTTAGGGAAACCATTAGTCAAGCACCATTGAATCCCTAGAAGGGCAGCTTCAGTTTCTGCAAGGTTGTTAGTCCCTTCCTCTAAAGGGGCTGCAATTGCATTAATAAAAAATGAAGACTTTTGGAAGTTGTGGTCCTAAATAATTCAAAAGGGTGTCCACAGTATCTGTGTGGTTATAAAAGCTTCTCACTAAGGGTAGAATTAAGAATTTAAGTTAAATTGTTTCCAAATTTAGAAAAGGGTCATTCTTTGTGGAACGGACCAAAAAGGAAATAGGTTCACGTAAACTGGAACGGAGGGAGTAGTTGTTTTTGTATGGAATTGGTTCCTTGGCCTATATTGATTGCATTGTATTGCTTTTGGTTAGATTCAGGATGTTTGGAGGCCGATTCCAGAGGCAAGGGCGTCGCGGAGTAGGTATTTGATTGGTTCAAGGTAAGTAATGATTGTAAATCTAGTCCCGAGGGTATGAAACCCCGAATTTTGCATCGTTTTACTACTTTGAGGTGATGCACATGCTAGGTGATGGGCGTGCACCGTTGGGGATTGTGACATGGTCTGTCCCCTAGCAACTATAAAGTTGCGTATTAGACTGAAACTATATGATACTTATGTGTTTTAGAAAAAAATTCTATAAATTGGGCTGAATGCCATATTTGGGCCTTGTGCTAGAGCTGTTTGGACCCTTATGGGCCTTTTCTTATTATTCTCTCATTGTTTTGATTAAATAATCTATACTCAGTCATGCTATATTTACTGATTTCATAACTCAGTCTTTATTACCCAGTTTGATGCATATAAAATTTTATTTTGGGCTGAGCACCCTATTTTTACTGGTAACCCAAGCGGCTTAAGAGGTTTATGACTGAGTGAGGCCGAGGGCCTATTTTTGTAAGGATATTATGGGATCGGGCTGTGCGCCGCAACATGTTGTTACTGATTCATGATTGAGTAAGGCCGAGTGCCTGATTGATTTATTCCACGAGGTGGCTTGTTATGGCGCTTGTGTTGTAGGAGCCCCTCCGAAGTCTGCACACACCCCAGTGAGCGCGGGTACCCTGAGTGAGTGATATGAGATATGCCCGGGGGGCTGTATACGAGTGACTGTGAGGTTTGCTCGAGGGGTGATTCTAAGTGATGTTATGCCCGAGGGGCTGTTTATGATATTTCATCACTTTTACTCTCTTTTGTATTGAGCCTCTGTTGAAACTGTTGAAAAATATCCTCAAATGATTTTTACCGAAAACTGGATTTTCAAACGAGATGATTATACTTACACTGATTTGAAAGCATGTTGTATTTACTGAGATTTCATGATGTGGACTTATGTGTTTTATTGCTCGTCACTACTGCTCAATCTTTATTTACCTTTATTACTTATTGAGTTGGCGTACTCGCATTACTCCCTGCACCTTGTGTGCAGATCCAGGGGTTGCTGGACATGCTAGCGAGTGATGATTTCATCCGTCGCGGATCTGTTGGAGTTAGCAAGGTAGCTGCATGGGGATCACAGCCTTGCTTTTCTCCCTCCTATCTTCCTATAGATGCTATTAGTTGGTTTCCAGACTGTATTAGTCTTAGCATTTTCGGACAGTTCTTAGTAGATGCTCATGACTAGTGACACCCCGATGTCGGGCTTTTCTTTCCGCACTTTGTTATTCAGACTTATCTTGTGAAGTTTTATTAATTAAATAGCTTGAAAAAATCTTTAAATTGAAATATCGGGTTGTTTTTGGTAAAAAAGTCGGCTTGCCTAGTTCCACGATAGGCGCTGTCACGACATGGTAGATTTGGGTCGTGACGGAGTCTCAATTCTGCCTTTTAAAATAGAGGTCACTCCACCTCCAATTGTGAAAACATATCCACTCGTGGATTTATCTTCAGATGATCCGGTGATCCAATTTGCATCACTATATCCCTCAATCACAAAGAGATATTTGTTATAATGTAGAGCATAGCCTTGGGTATGTTTCAGATACCCCAAAACCCGTTTCATTGACATCCAATATATTTGATTGGGATCACAATTCATGATATATATCAAACTTCCCAATACTCTTGCATAGTCCAGTTGTGAGTCACTTTCCCTTCATTCTTTTGAAGTGCATAACTCACGTCAATTGGAGTCTTGGCAATCTTGAAATCAAAATACTTGAACTTGTCAAGTACTTTTTGCAATATAATGAGACTATGATAATGCTAGACGCTGTGGAGTCTTGTGAATTCTGATTCCTAAGATCACATCAGCAACTCCTAAGTTTTTAATGTCGAATTTGCTAACCAACATGCGCTTAGTAGCATTTATATCTGCCATATCTTTGCTCATTATCAACATGTCATCAACATAAACAAACAATGACTTTATGACCTGGAGTGTTTTTACGGTAAATACATTTGTCACACTCGTTGATTTTAAAACCATTTGCCAATATTATTTGATCAAATTTAGCATGTCATTGTTTGGGTGCTTGTTTAAGTCCATAAAGCAACTTAACAAGTTTACACACTTTCTTTTCTTTACTAGGAACCACAAAACCCTCAGGTTGTTTCATGTAAATTTCTTCCTCCAATTCTCCATTTAAGAAGGCTGTTTTAACATCCATTTAATGGACTTTAAGACCATACACAGCCACCAGTTCCACTAACACCCTAATAGATGTTGTTCTCATTATTGGCGAGTAAGTGTTAAACTAATCAAGGCCTTCCTTTTGTCTATAACCTTTGAAAACAAGTCTTGCCTTATATTTGTCAATAGTGCCATCAACTTTCATTTTCTTCTTAAAGATCCATTTTGTATCTAAAGGCTTATTTCATAGAGGAAGATCAACCAATTCCATGGTTATTCAAAATTGATTGAACCTCACTATTGACCACCTCTTTCCAAAATGCTGAATCAGAAGATGACATAGCTGCTTTTAAAGTTTGAGGCTCATTTTCGAGAAAGAATGTCACAAAATCTGGTCCAAAGGAACTGGAGGGTCTTCACTGGTGAATTCTCTGCATACCAAGCATGGTAAGACAAAAGAACACCTTTTGCTGCTATCCTTTAAAGTTGGCCCTAGAAAATTTCCCCAATTTTTTAGCTGGTGGCACAACAGTTCTGCTTGACGAGGCTCTTGTCGTTGTCGCAACAGTAGCAGAAGGATTTCCATTTCTCACTGCCAACAATAGAACAATTCAATTAATGGCAGAAAATAAAATATTAAACAGTACCGTAATTAAAACAGTATGTTTAATAAAAAAAATTCGAAGTTTTTATATACTGTTTCACAAGGAAACGATGAAGTTTTTATGTTCTTCAAATGCCGGTGAACTGCGAACCACTTAATGGTTGTAAATGACACTGAATTTATTTGTGCAGAAGAAGAAGAAGAAGAAGAAGAAGAAGAAGAAGAATTTCAGAACATTTCGTAAAAATATTCTGGGATCAAGGCATATTTATAGCCATTTCAGAACAGGCGAGAACGTTCAAAATATTTCGGGAAAAGAATTTAATATAATTGAAAAAAATAAACGAACCGAGTCATGTGGCGCACGGGTCGTGGGTTACTCTGGGTTGACTTTTCGATAATTAGTTAAATTAATTAATTAAATAATTGAAAGAAATTTTGTCCAAAAAGATTAATCAATCAATCTCTGACCGAAGCCGAAGCCGAGCGGGCAACGACGACGCGAAGCTTACCTTCTTTCCAACCCATTTAAGAAATGCTTTCTCAATATAAGCACATTCCTTTTCTTTCCACCACTATCGAGGGACAATTGCTCTTTCCAAAGAATGAGGAAACTCACTTTCCCTTCACATTTCGTCCCTCCATTTTCTATTCACCAACATTCGATCCCAATATATGCTTCTTCATTTATCTTCTCTTCCCATTCTTGGACTTGTAGAATTGTTAATTATTGCTGCTATTTCAATTTTTATACATGTGTTCTTTTCGTTTTGGATATGTATTGTATATTCGTTGTCCTTGCTACACGGTGCTCTCCTGAAAAAATGAATTATTTCAACGTTATCTTGCTCCTCGTCTACATGAGGATTTGTTTTTGATAAGGCTAAATACACAGTTTATCTAGATAGGTCTTTGTATTTAAAATTGTAACAGATTATATATTCTCGTATCTCGAGGATTCTCCAATGTATAACAAACTCCCTCATCTACCGCCATTGTACCTATTTATATAATTCTGTTGTACTTAATAAGAGAGGAAGCCTTTCACAATTCAATCTCGTCTCTTATATGGTATCAAGAGCCTTCTAAAAACTCACACGAGTTACTCCCTTATTTTTCAAGAATGGGTGATTCACATACTCACTCTTCAACCACCTCGTCTACTTCCCCCACTGTCACAATCAGTCATGGGAACATTGCTCAGCCATCCCAACTAATTTCATTCAATCCAGCATCCCAATTCCCCTCGAAATTGCAAGGAAGTTCCAACTACTGTACTTGGAAATCACAAGTCATAACTCTACTCTTTGGTTATGATCTTCTTGGGTATGTGGATGGGTCACTTCCCCCTCCATCTGTGCAACGCCAAGATGGAGCAAACAATGAATATCCCAACCCCGCATCCAAGCTTCGGCAGAGACAGGATAGCCTTGTCCACAATGCTATCATGGCCTCAGTCGATCCTACAATCGCTTCTCTTATTGCACATGCTGCTACTGCCAAACACGCCTGGGAAATTCTTCAAACTACTTATGCCAACAAATGCCAGTCACGTATCTTCAGCGTGCGTGACACTCTTGCTAATCTCAAACGAGACTCGCGCTCCATTAGTGAGTACATGAAGGATATTAAATCCATTTCGGATGATCTTGCACCCAGTGAATCACCTATCTCAAATGAGGAACTTGTCATTAAAATCCTAAGTGGTCTAGGATCTGAGTACAAAGAACTATCTGCTGCTATAAGGGCTCGAGATAACCCAATATCGTTTGAAGAGCTCTATGACAAATTGCTTGCGCATGAGATGTTTATTAAAAATTCAGAGCCAACGCTTGAAAACCCAATCATCACTGCCCAGTTTCATAAAAAATCAGCCAGCCCAAACTCAATGTCACGACCCAAATTCCATTATAGGTCGTGATGGCGCCCAACACCATTGTTAGGCGAGCCAACCCTAATTGACTAGTGAGTTCTTATTCATTTTAATAAACAAATTCCCACATTTTCTTAACTTAAATTTTAAACAGTCGAACATTAACAGATTTATAAGGCAAACGAATCGGGAAAGACTAAAGGAAGTCATCATAGTAGAAATACAACCCAAAAGTAATAGTCTACTAATGTGTGTGCCAGGAACTAGTGTCACAAGTATGAGGGCAACCAGTAGAATGTACAAAAGAATATAACTATCCTACTGCCTGAAATAGAATAGACAAATAACAAAAGAAGAGACTCCGGTATGCTACTGAACGGTTCGGAAGAGGGCAACTCACCGTGAGATCTCGATCAAGTATCAGGGATGCGCGCCGGACGGATAGCCAAATGTACCTGCCTCAGATCCTATACATTTAAGTAAAGAAGCATAGTATGAGTACATAACCAATATGTACCCAGTAAGTATCCAGTCTAACCTCGCAAAAGTAGTGACGAGGGGTCGACTTGACACTTACTAGGGTCAATAATAATATAATTCAAGTGTTATGCTAAGCATGGATAGCATGAATAAAAATGACAGATTAAGATAATGGAGAAGTAAGACATTCTTTCATAAACAACATGTCAAGTTTCAATCACATCTGGTAACAACTTACATTTCAAGCATTTAAGCAGTTTAAACCACGGGAAGTTCCAAATAAATAACATGCACACATTATGCCGAGGTCGTACAGCCCAGTCCAACATAATATTAAACTGTGCACTGCCAGAGGATCGAATGATGCGAACCATAGATGCATCTATTTACTACCGAGGCGATCGGCCCGATCTGCAAATAGCAATTTATTATCAAGTAAGCACACATCGCCCATTTATAGTCAAATAATTCATACAAGTTCTCAAGTAAGTGAGTATAGCTGTCAATATTTATTTACAAGTTTCTAGCATGACCTAAGTGATTTTAGTAACTGCAAGGATGCAAGCATTTGCACGTATAGCATGATACGAGTCCTAAATTACCTAGACAATTAGCATAATAGTAGCTACATACAGACTCTCATCGCCACGTACGTACGTAGTCCCTACAGGTAGTCACATACATTTATTTAATTCACCTATGGGGTTAATTTCCTCATAAAAGGTTAGAAATGAGACTTACCTCGTCCCAAAGCTCACTTCAAATTTCAAGAATGCGCTCAAACTCTCAAATCAGAGCCGAACGATCCAAAACTATTCAAATGGGGCAAGAACTAGTCAATATATGCTCAAGAGTTTATTTTCTAACTATTAAACTAATTTCTCAACTCTAAATACAAGGTTCCTAAAATTCACCCTCGGGCCCACGTGCCCGGATTCCTGAAATTTTCGAAGAAACTTGTTATCCATAACCTAAGGATCAAGAATATATGATTTTTACTTCATTCCATAACGTATTTCGTGGTTAAATCTTATTTTTATCAAAACCCTAGGTTTTACTCTAAACCCATGATTTTCTCTAATCTTTACATGTTAATCTACCCAAAATCCAAGTATTTAACTCACATATAGTAGGAATTACTTACCTCCAAAAGCTTGGCGAAAAACCCCTCTCAAGAGCTCTAAAATCGCCCAACCAATGAGTGGAAATGAGCCAAAAAATGGCTAACTCCCGCAATAAATGAAGGTCACTGCCTTCAGTGATTTCTGTATCTGCGGAAAAGTGTCCGCTTCTTCGGAACTCAACTGGGCCGCTTCTGCGGAAAGCCAACCGCTTTTGTGGTTTCGCTTCTGCGGAAAGGAGTCCGCTTTTGCGGTTTCTGGGCTGGCCACCCATGGCCGCATCTGCGATGGCTTACCCGCTTCTGCGGGCTCGCACCTGCGGCTGGCCAACCGCAGGTGCGGTTATGACAGAAACCTGGAGCTTCAGCTCCTTCTGACATTTTCAACTTAGCTCGAGCCTCGTTTGATTGACGCTTGGGGCCCCCGGAGCCCCGCCTGAACATACCGATAAGATTGAAATGATAAAATGGACTCGCTTGAACCCTCGGAACGCCGGAAACAACACTAAATCTAGGAATCATACCCTAAAACCAATTGATTCTAACTTATGAACTTCAAGTACTTCACTTTACTTCCAATGTGATGAAACACACTTATACTACTCGGATTGACACCAAATTTTGCGTGAAAGTCTTAAATGACATTACAGAACTATTCCCGATCTCAAAATTTTGTTCGGACCTCGATATCACAAAAACCTGCTCCAAACCAAATTTAAAGAGCTTCAAAAATCCTTAAGGACTCAACTATCACTATTTGGTGGCAAAATGCTCCCGGGTCATCCAAAACTTGATCCGGACATACGCCCAAGACTGAAATCATCATACGAACCTGTTGGAACCTTCAAATCCTGATTCCGAGATCGTTTACTCTAAATGTTGACCGAAGTCAAACTTGGCCTTTTAAGCTAACCTTAAGGAACCAAGTGTTCCGATTTCAACCAAAACTCTTCCAAATCCCAAACCAACCATCCCCGCAAGTCATAAATAAGTAAAAGCAAGTAGAGGAAGTCTTATTTAGTGGAACGGGGTTCTAAAAAGCAAAACGACCAGTCAGGTTGTTACATTCTCCACCTCTTACACAAATGTTCGTCCTCGAACGGGTTTAGATTTATACCTGGAGTGCTTAATAAGTGTGGATATCTGCTCCACATGTCCTCCTCGAACTCCCAGGTCGCCTCCTCGACTGGACATTTACTGCAGAAATCCTCTTAGATCTCAACTGGCGATCCTGTCTATCAACAATGGCAATTGGCTCCTCCTTATAACCCAAGCTCTCATCTAGATGAATAGTGCTGAAGTCTAACACATGCGACAAGTCGGCGTGGTAACTCTGGAGCATGGACACATGAAAAATCGGATGAACTCCTGATAGGCTGGGGGGTAAAGCAAGCTCATAGGCAACCTCCCCAACTCGCCTCAACACCTCAAATGGGCCTATAAACCTGGGGCTCAACTTGCCCTTAATCATCGGCAAGACTTTCAAGAGAACCTTCTCGCCGACCATGAATGACACATCCCGCGCCTTCTGATCCGCGTAACTCTTCTATCTGGACTGTGATGTGCGAAGTCTTTCTTGAATCAACTTTACCTTTTCCAAGGCATCTTTCACCAAGTCAGTACCATACAACTTAGCCTCGCCAGGCTCAAACCACCCAATAGGAGAACAACATCGAAGACCATACAAAGCTTGAAATGGAGCCATCTCGATGCTGGACTGATAACTGTTGTTGTAAGCAAACTCGGCCAAAGGCAAGAACTGATCCCACTGCCCTCCACAGTCAATCACATATGCTCTAAGCATGTCCTCCAGAATCTGAACTGTCCGCTTCGACTGCCCGACGATCTGCGGGTGGAATGCTGTGCTGAGCTTCACACGGGTCCCCAACGCACTCTGTATGGCTCTCCAGAAATTGGAAGTGAACTGAGGGCCTCTATCTGATATGATAGAAACAGGCACATCGTGCAACCGAACTATCTACCGAATATAGATCTGAGCCAACCTGATGTTTTATACTTCAATACCACACAAGAGGGGGGGGGTGATTTGTGTTGTACCCAATTTTCGATTAACTAAACTATAGAAGGACCTGGTTCTTCTATGTGTTCCAACTACTACTGTTTGCGGAATAAGAAGTAAAGAAAATAAAAACACAGAGATTTTTACATGGAAAACACCTGGCTCAAAAGGTGAAAAAACCACGACCTACTACTCAGTAGGATTTTCCCAAACTTCCACTAAAATTACTGAGCCAAAACCGTATTTACAAAACTCTTTGTAAACCTAAGGATTAACTCTAATCCCGTTGTGGCACACAGCCTCAACTGCTGTGACAACTTCAAGTTAACTCTAACTTGAATACTCTAAGTACCTAATACAATTGCTTCTATAAAAGCTGAAATGTACAATGTAAAATCACCTACTACAATTGAACTAGAATAAAAGATAGACACTTGAAACTGGTTCTTCTATCTTGCTCAAGTAACTTCAGGATTGCACGCTTGAATCACACATAAATTGCTTGCAAAATCGCCTTGCTCTTTTGCTCTCAATTTAAGTTTAACTTCTGCTTATGTGCATTGCCTGTAAAAGAGAACAACACTGATATTTAATGGATTAGTGATTAGAGATTAACTAGGATACTGATTCAACTCTTCTATCATAGAAGAGTTCTAGTTGATCTCATACTCTAACACTATCCTCTTTTTAAACTGTGTTCTCTTTACATAAGGAGTCTTTCTCTCCTAATCCAGTATGCAACTTTTTCGATCAGATCAGGAAATATTACTTCTGATAAGGTAGATTTATCTCCTTCACCTGCATCTCACATGTTTGGGTTGATCATGACTGTGTTTCACAAGATGGACCTGGTCCATGTCTGAGTTCTTTTGTCAGTCTTCAAAACTTCACCTGTTCTTGGGCCAACAAATTCTCCCTTTTTGATGATGACAAACTCTGTGCTTTTTACTTACTAGGATCCTGTAAAAACTCAGCTTAACCACCAATACAAAGTTTTTAGAAAATTCCTTATCATCAAGGACCAGGTTAATTAGGTTATAAATATCACTTATTCAAAATATGTAAAGCACAATCTCTTCCCCCTTTTGGCATCATCGAAAAGTTGCATACAAAGTGTGAGTCCCAGATTTTAATAAGTACTCATGGCCACTGGGGCAACTGCAAGTGCAATCATGGATTAATCATCAATAATCAAGTAAACATATTTAAACTACCAAGAAAAGATTAACATTAATCAAGAGCAAAAGACAGTAGATATCATTGATAGAAGATATGTTGCTACCACAATCCACAACCAGAAAACAAAAATATCCAAAACATGAGCAAAAAGAAAGAAAAATCCCTAATCCGGGTCACTGAAGGTACTAGACAGGTTCAGAAGATAAAGGCTAGAATTCCTAAGGCTTGGGGGAGCTAGAGGGTTGGTTTTGGGCTTGGAGAAGATTCAGCATATTGTGAAGAATTCCATCATTCTTCTCCTTTTCCTTAGCAAGTCAGTCCTGAGAGCATCCCTCTCAGATTCCACCTCTACCACACGAGCCTTTAGCCTAGCTATC